CATGTGTAAAAAACCAGCCTTTTTTCCCTAACAAAGTAATCTCACTATGTAGTAACCTTGGGGAGGGGAAGGGAGATATACAGGTCCTCTTGCCCTCTTGTGCCAAGGTCCTCTGCCCTCTTGCTGTTGTGGAACATTAATCATTACTGCCCTTGTGGCTCTTTTGCCTCTTTGCAGACAATCTTCCGACAGGTTTTGCATTCTATGACAGTGTTCCGTGTATTCTAGACAGCCTCCAATGCAGAGTGTGCTTCCTCGGCTGCTGGCACTTCCACTCATGCAAGATCAATGTTTTTCAATAAGCCCCAATGTGAGCAGAAGTGCTAGTAAGAGACGAAGGGCACTGTGCAGTAGGGACTGTTCACCATACATGGAACACAATCATAGGGTCCAAGCCTATTCACAGCACAGAGACAATCAACTGCTGAGCCTATCTCCAGCAGTTCCAGTGGCCAGGTTGCATCTAGCTGCTCTGGTACTGGGTTGCCAAATCTCTCATTTTAGCCTGGGCCGGAATCACTGTAGTAGTACCTGTTGTGATTTGGAATTGCCAGGTGATTTGAAGCACATTGGGGAGTTCCTGGGATCCTGACAGCCATTTATTTTCCCAGGGAAGAGAGCCATAAAATGCACAAAGAGATCAGAAGATGTAGTTCTGCAGAGAAATAACTGTTTGCCTACTTTCCAGGAGAGGCAAGATGGACAGCTATTGTAAAACTTGATCTGGATATGGGACGTGAGCTCTAGGCTGACTGGGGGAGACTCAAGTGCCCCTTCCCATGTGGGGCAGTTTCCTAAATCTGAATTGGGAAGGGCTTCCCGCCAACCAAGGGCAGGAAGGATTAAAAGGTTGAAACATTCGTCTTGGTCCAAATGCTAGGAGCCAGATTCTTTTGCAGGGAGCAGAAGGGGGGTTGACGGTGGATTTGTTCCACAGACGTACAGACAGGATGTCAGAGGTACTGTTCTGCATTGTTAAGTTAGCCGAGACTTATGTTTTATGTTCCTTTCATTAGATCTGTAACCAGCAGGCATTGATAGCTATTTTCTCTGTCTATGCTCTAGCTTAATTTGTTGCAGTAAAGACTTTTCCTGTTTAAGAAAGCAGACTGTGATCCAACTCCTCTTCATGCATACCTTAGATCACTTGCTCAAACACACACACTTGTACCCTGGACATGGCAGATTCTTCAGAGTTCACAATTCCCCTAATCACTTCTGGTGTTTTATAAACCATGCAGGCTACAAGATGATAGGGTGGGGAAAGAAAAGATGGAGTACAGGAGTCACAAGGATGGATAGCAGCAAGTGGGAGCGATGAAACCCATGAATGCAGTGGAAGGATGTCTAGAAAGGAAGGTGCTAAGCAAAGTGACTGGAGTCTACAGTTAGCTCATCAATCTGAGCGGCTCACCCCTAGTGATTGGGTCTGATGGACCTTCTTGCACTTCTTATAGCCCTATCTAATAGCAAGCACATATGGGACTTGAACTATAGCCTTCAGGCATGGTTTTACAGAGCTGTTCCTTTTTCTGCCATATTTCCTGACCTGTCATATATGGCTGACTTCCACACCAAGGCCAATGGAGGGGCCCAACTGTCCCACAATGTGTTTTTTTCCTCAGTGACCTACTGATGCATGGTTAGACGGAAGCTATGTGAGGTGATGTCAGGAAGGTGTACATGCATGTCTGTACATTGGTTAGATGCTTCCATCTATAGCTGGAATGGAGCAGCATTGGCATGCCACCATTCTTTTGGGGGGTGGTATTTTTTCATGTGTGTGTGTGTGTGTGTTTGGGGTGGTATTTTTTCGTGTGTGTGTGTGCATGCGTGTGAGCGCACCTGTAAGTCATGGCAACCTCTGGTGACTGACCGCTACTGGGGGCCTGGAGGATATTCAGAGAGGTAGCTGAATAAAGCCTGCCCCCACCTCCGGACTGCTGGCATTTCAAAGAAGTCTCCATCCAAGTACTTGCCAGAGCCGACCCTGGTTAGCTTCTGAGATCTGACAAAATCAGGCTTGCCTGGGCTATCCAGGTTTGGCAGTGTCACAATGAACTCCAGTGCAATTGCTACACTCTGAGCTCTTTGGAGTTGGGTCTCTTTCAAAGTATCTGTTCTCCACTGAGAGAGCAAAGGGTACCAACCAGTACTAGCACTGCACCAGTAGTCAAGGTTTAGGATGGCATTAGCTGTGTACTATATCTAAAATACAATTTAAAATAACTGACCCACCAACAGATTTATCACAAAAATAAGCACAAATCATAATACATGATTCATGCCAAAGCACAAACCACTAATTGCTGCCTATAAAAGCATGATTTAATATTACAGTCTAGTCCAAGGATTCTTATGCAGCTCAAGGGGCATATATATTTTTATATACTGACACATTACCTAATCTTTTTTCATTTGAATGTATACATAAATTATTAAAACAAATCCTCTTCAGTTTGTGCATTAGCATGACCAGTTTATTTCAGATAACTCCCCTGAAATAATTTGACTAAGATGTTTGCTTAATATACATACATACTGTATACATAAGCACACACACACCCTCTAAGGCCATAGCAAAATCCCTGCATTAAAGAGTATGGTATAGCACATTTTACTTATAATATGAAAACAGCAATGATTCTTGTTGCATCTTAAAGACTAATGTGGATAATGTGGCATTAGTTTTTTCTGAGTCAAAGAGCCTGCTTCGTCAGATTCAATCTTATGCCACAATACCCGTGCTAGTCTTTAAGGTGCCACAAGGCTCTCTGCTATTTTGGCTGCATCAGAGTAACATGACTACCCCTTGGGAATTTACTCAGGGAACTGTAGCTGCTGTTCTTGGCACTCATCTTGGCATACAACAAGATCTCTTCCGTAATTTATTACAGGCTTAATCCGCTAGTCCTATATATTATCCTCTATTATGATTGTTCTGTACATATAGTTATACACATACCATCGCCAGTTGCGAAGTTTACATTGTATACTACCCAACCAGGCAGTTATATCTGTCAGCGTGTTCCAGTTCCCCAGTTAACATAATCACAGTGATGTGTTAATGTTTCTGCACTTTTTTAACCTAGATGGCCAAAACCCTGGTGCTTACCACTACCTATCTGCAAGAAGACAGTCTCTAGAATTAAATACAGCTTTTTAAAAGACGGATATGTCACTAGCCATCAAATGCTCACAACCTTTCAATTATCTCTAAAGCCATCTTGAGAGAGAAAAATCTCTCTATCGGTATAGTTATATCTACATTTACGTATAGGTATATTTAAATGTGCTTGAAGCTGCTCTTCATTATTGTGACTATGCATCACTGTTATATTCCTATTGCTTTATCAGTGAGGAAATATTAAAGGCTTCATTAGGAATCCAGATTCTCGCCTATTTTGCTTATTGCCCAACATATTCATTCACAGTTTTGAAAGTGGAGGGGAGCTTGGTCACTAGCAACAACTAACAATCAAACCTGGCAACCATACAGTGCAATGACGTGTCAGGCTGCATGCAAATCTCCCAAGTGCCTTAAGATCACTGGCTCTTTAAAAGCTGAAAGAAGGCAAGAGGTTAACGCTGCACAAGAAGCCTGTTTTGCCTTGCTTTGGCCCATTTCAGATGTTACAGGCACTGTGTGTGATTGCTGCTAACAAAACAAAACCACATCAACATGATGAGGGTGCCACAACCTCCATCACAATGTCTGTCATCACGTTCCGAAGTGAGCCAGCCAAAATCTGTACTGAGTATCCCTGGCAGCACTGATAGGTCTCTGAATACCTGGTGGTGTTGACACAGGTATTTAAGTAATATAGCTTTCCCATTTCAGCTGCTATAATATACAGTGTCCAGTACATAAAAGTGTGTGTGTGTATGCACTTTACATGTGTAATACACAGGAGTAAGGGTAGGTGTGTGTAAGGATCATGTCACACCTGAGGAGAAAGATGTTCCATGTAGCTCTCTCTCCATCTCTCAAGAGCTATCAGCTCTTGAAGTAAGAACAGAGGCTTTTTCCATGCAGCCTGGAATGGATTTCTCCCACTTCCCTTGGGTACAGGCAGTTCCTGAGGCCAAAAACGCATCCATCTGCTCATTTTCCACCCCAGGAGGAAGGAACACAGGAAAGGTCCTTCTCCACTGCTATTCTCATCCTCCCATGTTTCAACTGCAGGTCTAGAGCCAATTCACTTTTAGCACATTAGACTAGAATTGGTCTAGAGCCAATTCACTTTTAGCACATGGCACCACATTTCACACAACTTGCTCACACCAAGGCAGTATGTCTAGGGGCACTCAAAATCACTGTGCAGAGCCAAAAATGTTGTCTGAATAAGGGCATATTATTTCTATGTTCTCACAAACAATAAATAGGCAGGTATAGATGCTCACAGCCCCGTTACCGTGATGCACCAACATCACCAGTACACCTTCTAAGCTGCCTGATCTAGAAATCCTTATTAATTAACATAAAGGCAGCATTTCCGGGTCCTGGGACCATCAATAGAATGCTCTTTAACGTTACAGGCTGCCACCAATATGTTCTTATTTTCACCGAAGTGGTTGCAGTTAGAATGCTCTTTAACGTTACAGGCTGCCCATGGTAGCCCTTCCTCACATCCAGGTTATATTTGGAGAGCTCAGAAGCAGATCAAGTCCACTGCCGTAAAGGTGATCAGAATTATCCTGGAGTAATGGCGGATCTGCTACATGCGCCTGTTGCGATGAATTAACCGTCATTCTCCCTGCCTACGAAGGCAAAAGTGAGGGCTGGAGGGAAAGGACTTCTTTTCCTGTCTGTTTGACGCTCCCATCCCCACCGTCGCCTAGAAAGAAGGTTACCCCTCCTCACCTCCTTCAGACAAGCCCAACAGCCGGCCGGCCGAGTGCTGCCCAGGTGCTGGGCATGGACGGGCAGCCCCGGCGGGTTTGACAGCGGCTACGGAGCGCCCAGCCCAGCCCAGCCCACCCCCGCCCGGGATCCTTACCGGGCTCGTGCTCGCCGGGGTTGTCGGAGATCTCGATGACCAGCAGCTCCCTGCCCTCGGAGCTCCGGCCCACGGTGTAGATCCTGCTGATGGACGGGCACTGCAGCCACACGGCCACCAGCGCCTCCCGCAGCTCCGGGTAGCGGTGATACTCGAAGGAGATGCCGTCCTCCTGGCTCAAGCGCCGCCGCCGGTTCGCCCCGCCGCCGCCCGCTGCCGTCGCTTCAGGCTTGTCCGCCCCGGAGCCCTGCAGGCAGAAGGCGGCCAGCACGCCGCAGAGCGCCAGCAGCGCCCAGCAGCCCCGACCTCGCCCGGCCATGCCCCACTCAGCCGCAGCCTCGGGGAGAAGGTGGAGCAGAAGGGCGGCTTCCTTGCGCCTGGCGGGCGGGCGGGCGACCGAGCTCCTCCTGCCGGCCCTGCTGCTAACGCGGGCTGGACTCGGGCGCTGCTCTCGCTCCCCTCCCTCGCCGCCAGCTAAAGACCTGCTCCGTCCAGGCAGAGGCGGCAGAGCCTGATGCGCTCCTCTCGCTGGCTCGGCAGGCTGCACTACTCGCTCCAGCGCCAAGGGGAGACGCAGCGCATACCACTCCGCGCAGGGGATGCTGAGGTGACGTCCGCCCACGCCCTCCGCCGGGCAGCCGCTGCGCCTGTGGCGTCGGTCCCAGAGAGCGTCACGGGTGTCGTCACGCTTCACCTGGGCGCGCGGCGGCAGAGCCGGAGGCTTTCCACACACCCTGGAAAGCCGTAGGGGCCCTGGAGACTTTTCTGACGTGCGTAACGAGGTAGCCAGGTTCCAGCAGGTGGGATGCTTCGCCGGATGGTGAGGGAAAGGCGCTCTGCACATGCTCATACAGTTTAATCCGATGTCCACGCCTCATTGCGCTAATAGCAATCTGGAATCCCAAGAGTATGCCTTTAGGAACCCCATGGAATCCCAAGAATATTCCTACGTAACACCATTTTTTCCACATGGCCCACCTTAGAAGCATGGCAGTGTCCACATTAGCACTGCACAGCCTTGGTAGCGAGGTCTGCAAAATTGCTGTGTTATTTGTTCCTAGTATGACTGGTCTGCAAAATTGCTGTGTTATTTGTTCAAACTGTATGGTTAGCAACTTTTTAAAATGGCAGCTACAGCATGGAACAGCACTGCTTAGAGGCTACTCTTGGTGGCCCTCATTTAAGACCGACAGTGAATATACCTCCTGGAACATGCAAGGTCCCTGGATTCCAAATTGCTGCATACGAGGATTATCATCTCAGAATAACACTCCTGGAATAATAATCTGAACTCTTCTTTATTGTATAAAAACAAGTAAGCCTATATGGGGTACCAGTAACAAAGTGGTTTCTTTCGTCTTCTGCTTTGAGCCCTCTTTAAAGATCTTCAGAGGTTTGCAATGTGGATTTTAAACATTAGTTGGCAGCTAACAATGCAGTCCTTAAGCAGAGTTACACCCTTCTAAACCCACTGAAGTCAATGGTTTAGAGGGGTGTAACTCTGTTTAGGACTGAACCATTAATCTCAGTGTTGGAGCCAGAGTTTTAATGTATATAAATGTTAATATATTTTAAAGCACTTGTAAATGTCGAATGTAACTGAACACTCCCATGAAACAGTGTCTTCTCTGGATATGTGTGCATGAAAGCCCCCACAGTACGTAAAGATAAGTGCCTGCCAAACTGGAACTATAGGAATATTCTTGGGATTCCATGCATTCTTTGGACTAAAAATATACCATAAATGTCTTCTTTTTGCTGGTTGTATGCAAAAACAGCTGTCTGGCAATTTTATACATCAGCAAATTTGAACTATTGACAAGAAGGGAGGAGGGATACTCATAATATGCAAGAAGATGTACAGTGACTCACCTTCAGTGCTCTTTCCTGTGTCTGTACCGCTCCATAATTCTTAAGTGTACAGATGTGTTGCTTGTGATCAAGATAATTCCTACCATAGTATTCCCCATTACTATATATAGGTGTGAAAGTTGTTTCATTTGAAATGTGGTGCTGGAGGCATACAGATACCATGAACTTCCAGAAAGATAAGTGAGTTGTAGATTAAGTCAAGCCTGAACTCTGTCCTAGAAGCTAATATGATCACCCTGAGGCTATCATACTTTGGTGACATTATGAGAAGACCAGAGACACTGGAAAAGACCATAATGCTCAGGAAAGTTGAAGGCAGCAGGAAAAGAAGACTCAACATGAGATGGATTGACTCAATAAAGGAAGCTACGGCCCTCCGATTGGAAGACTTGAGCAAGGATGTTTTGTAGGTTTTGTCACCATAAGTCAGAAGTAACCTGATGGCACTTAACATACACGCGCCTACATCTTCAGAATAGCACTATAGGATATGGCTACTGTGAACCTGTGCATCACTAAAATGTTATTAGACGATGGAACAGTCTAGTCAGCTGCACAACAACCTGTGTGCACAACAACCTGTGTATAGTATGGGGTCTTTCTTCCCCGATATAATATACTGAGTTTTATATTATCTGTTGAGTCAGACATATATGATACATTAACAATAAAGAGTTTTTCATTTCTATCTTACCTATCTGCTTGCAAGAGCACTCAGCTTGCAACATTAATAAATACAATCAATTAAAATTTTAAAATATCAGTATGCAGAATCAATAAACATGTCACAGATATAATTACCAAATGCAGCAAAAATGGATGTTATCTAACATTATATCTGTTACATATTATAGATACACTTTTAGATAACATTCATTTGATTATTACAATCCTGAGCCTATTATGCACCTCATGAGGTAAGGCAGTTTCTGACCACTGAGAATTCTGGAGACTTCCCCAGAGACCAGCAGAGAAAGGGGGTGGGAGATGGAGCACTGGGCATCTTCCTCTTAAGATAAATGGGTTGTGCTTACCAGATATCTCCTTGGCAGCTTGTTATCCCTGCTCCTCTCCCTCTGAGGCTTCTAAGGAAAATTAGTTGCTTAAAGGAGAAATAGGATGATTAGCATAGATAAACAACAGATGGGGGAAAAGAGGACAGCCGCTCTAGAATCCCCTGCAGCCTTCTTTGCCTCTCTCTGAGGGAACCATCACCATTCTCAACCCTGGGTTATACATGGTTACTTTTCACATAATAAATCATGTTTTAACAAGTCACCAGGCTCTTACTGCCTATGTACTACTTTCTACATGCAGCCGATGGTCCCAGTATTGTAGTTGCAAGTATATTATATTTTTAGCCGAAAAAGCTAAAGTCATACTTTCAGCCATATGGTATTGGTTTAGTATAGCCACTGACATTTATTCCAGCCTTAAGTAGTAATTAGTGGTATAATACATCAGAACGGTAATGAAGCAGAGGATTACACACCCGACCCAGCCCTGTGCAGACTTTAAAAAA